TCATACAATTCTACAAAGTATTAGTGACCGAACTAAGTAGCCAGATAGTAATACAGTGTGGTGAGTATGAAGACTGAAGGACACATACTATCAGAGACAGAAAGTTTGTTTATACATATATATACTTGTAGTATATGGTTAATGACTGTGACATACGTTTTGTAAAATTGGCGTAGATATGTCACTACCCCCTGTATGTCTTCCTATTTATGGAAATAAGTATGAAGTACTCCGTATATGAATGATGATACGAGCTGCTGCGAATAATGATTTTCATGGAGCCTGGCTTACCACAAAGCGGGTGGTGCTGGTGCTGGTGCTGTTATTGTACTAACCTATCTATAAGTGGAATTTTATGGTTTTTACTCATAATGAGTGATATATGGTATATGCTGTTTTAAAGCTAAGTGATTAGTTTATCTTTAATTGTTTTTCAATACAAAATTGGAGTACAGGTGAAAAGAGGAGAGATTCTTTTCGTGAGGATATGTACTTGTGTAGATCTACTTTTACAATTGGTGATTGAATTTGAAGCTATAGAGGTACTTTTTTTTTTGAAGCTATAGAGGTACTTTTGTACATACTTTAGTTCCATCTTCCTCTAGGTTTGATATATGAGATGGGGATAAGACAAAAGAATAAGGATTTAGAGATGGCAACTGATAGGTATACTGGTGGAAAGGGCGAGTTGACTAGGCATACGCGTATAATGACTTTTTTTCTTGAAAATAAGATTGAGATAAAAGTTAAATTAATAAACTTATAAACTCTTTTTATTTTTGATAATCTGACCTTCTTTGGTTGAATAAGAGGGGTTTTAATCCCTATTCCCTTTATCCCCATTCCTTATTTCAAAACACAAAACAATGTTTTTTATCCATATCGTTCAACCTTACCTTTGTATGTCACATATTCGAACTAGATACTTTCGCCTGCTTTGTATGCTTTTAATGGTTGAATTTGAACATGGGCATCATGCATATGACGCCTTAGTCCTCAATCCACTATATCGTTCTCTTTATTTTCAAAATAATCTATCCCTCTGTTAAGTGATGTAGAGATGCTTCTATTTTCCTTATGAGTTATGAGTTATAGTCATTGCTATTTATTTTGTGTAAATTGAAAGTAAAGGTTTGTTGTTGTACCTAATATATCCAAGTGAAGAAGTAAGTTGTATTAACGCATTTGAAAGAGTAGTTAGGAATTATGATAAGATAGGGGTTTACCACCCAATGCATAACTTAACATAATAGTCAATGTTAAATTGTTAACCACTATTTGGGTTGATGTTGAACTATCAATTGTTTATTAAATGGAACTCTTCATTTATACGCTGCAACTTATTCAAATCTTGAGGGTCATATTCAAACTTTGATTATTTCATAATTTGGACTATTATCCATGAATTTATTGTTTTCTACTAAATATCTACTAATCATAGTCTACGAAAAATGACATACTTGTATTAAAGAAAATCCATTGCAATCTTAGGGCAACGACTAGCCAAACTTGGTTTATTTAAAACTATGGGACTAATTAATCTTTCCTTCAATATGCATTTTCATAATCACATAATAAGAGTATTATATCCATTTTTAGGAAGATTAGTTTAGTTGAAGTTATCTTTGTAGACGTCAAACACTCAGACTCAATAAGTTTAGTTGAACTTAATATTTTGATCGAGCTCATATTATCTCCTATGGAGTTTTAGTTATCCAAACTTTGATGTGCTTGATTTCGGTTCGTTTATTATTCAAATTGTTACACGGTATATGTTAATTATGTTAAGTTGGCAAGTCTTGACAATTGAGCTTCTAAAAGCCAAATGAAGTTTTTGTCCTCAAACACAAATATGTACGGTGTAAATATGTTAGTGAAGGAAACTAGGAATATTCATATTTCTAATATATGTAAACAAACAAAGTTTAAAATTATGCATAAGTGTTTTTTTTTTCCCCTCCTACAATCCCAGCTATTGGTATTTTCTTAAAAATTAAATTAAGAGAACAGATCAAATTTTGAAGGACCCAGCTTTCAAGGAATCATTTAAATGTGGTGTAAAATAATAGTAAGTGGCAGATGTAAAGTTCAACCTCATTAATACGTTTATATAATAATTTGAGGAATAATTATTCACACAAAGGGTCCATAGCTCAGTGGTAGAGCATTTGACTGCAGATCAAGAGGTCACCGGTTCGAACCCGGTTGGGCCCTTTTTCCTGTTTATTTTATTTTAAAAATTACTATTTTTTTGAAGATTCTAAGCTAATCTTACGCAATACTGTTTATGAATAATATCAACACGATAATGTAAATTATACTTCCTATTATACAATCAACAAAACATTAGAGTTCATTTGATATAATATCATTGAACTTTGAATTTCAACAAATGATTTAAATCATCCATCTCATTAAAAAAAGTTTATATATATGGTGTAATATTTAGAGATTGGTTTTGGGATCCTAGAGTCCTTTAATTTATAACATAGTAAGAGTATTTGGGAAAATATGGCTCATCCTCAATAAAGAGTGTTGACGATATATATATAGACAAGTACATAAGACCTTAGTACGATGAAAATACCGTTTACTCATAATCTATTCCCAAACACATCGCTTTTCTTCTTTACTCATAATTTCATTTCAATAAATTAAAGTAACTACGCAATATACACCGAATTAGACAATACCTTATAAAATATGGGATTGTAACGAAAACACTTTGTCTAACCCATATTATACTTGTCATCGATTAATTTTTGTTGTTATTAAGAGTCATATACACAATCGTCTCCTAATCACTTTCACTTTCTTAATTTTTATTTTCACTTTCACAAATTAAACAAACCCTACATTACAACACCTAAAAAATTAATATTTGATTATAAAAATTAGTTACGTGGACAAATAAAGCACCTAAATAAGCATAATTAAGTATTGAAAGTACTAGGTTCCAAGCATAAAGTTATATCTTGCACATCCCAAAAATAAAGTTGTAATTATAGCATAGGTGAAGTTAAACTACCTTCCTCTGTTCATCTGTCCCCTACAACGGTCGATACTTGCATAAAATTTAATTTTAAATTAGCGCCGCACTAATTTTCAAATTAATTTTGACTCCCTAATCCTTGAACATCTGCCCTCAATTTTCTCTTTCTCGTGACTCTCAATTTGCAATTTCTTATTTTTCATCCTTTATATAAATGCCACCCTCTTTTTTCTTCCATTTATCAACTTAACCATAAATCCAAAAAATATTAGAAAATGGGTAATTGTTCTTTAAGAAGTTCATCATCAACATGTAACAAAACTCACACCAATGTCCGAATACTGACGGATTCGGGTCGGGTTATCGAAATCGATGGTCCGAAATTAGCTCAAGAAGTTCTCGATGATTTCCCGGGTTACGGCATCTATCAAAAGGGTCACCTTACATTGCCATTGTTCGAAGATGAACTTCTTATTAATGGTCAAGTTTACTATCTACTACCATTTGGGGTGTCTAGTAGCAAGAGTTTATCCGAAACAGGGTTGTCGAGTGAGCCTACGAGCTTCAGGAAGGATCAAAACGCTGCGTTTGAGGTTTTGCCTTCGAAAGGAAATGGTGTTTGGCGGGTGAAAATGGCGATTGATAGTAAAGAGTTGGAGGAAATGATGTCGGGGAATAATGCAGAAGCCTTGATTCAAATGATGAGATCGGCTGCGAAGTCGTCGGAGAATTCGCCGGAAAGGAGTTTAAGGCGGCGATCGATGGCTTTGATTGCGGCAGGGTTTAAAAGTCCGGTGACTCCCCGGAGGCTTATTGCTTGTTGATGCTCTGTTTTTTTTGTTTTTTTTTTTTTTAATGTTATGGGGGCTTTGATTTTGTGGGTCATATTGGACTCACTTTAGAGGTTGTGTGTGTGCAATAATTTACTAATTATGTACGAGGTAGTTTATTAATTGGACTCCAAAAATGGCAAATTGTGATTTTTTTAGTATTTTTTTTACATGTGATTAAATTTTCACTCTATTTTACGTCTTTCATCCTTTAATACAAAGTCTTTTTTTAGCATTTATTACTCAAATAATAAAGAGAAAGGGACTTTATGTTTAGGGACGAAGGGAGTACTATATATAGGGTATGTATGTTTCATCTAATTTTAACTTATTCCTAGTTAGTAGTACACTAGTACATAATAAATGGTGAAAAACGATTATGTTCTTGGTCTGTTTAAAGGCGGGGTTAAGTGAAATTTTAATGGGTTAGTTGGCCATAAAATATTGACTTCAATTAACAAAAGGTGGAAAAAACGTTGAAGTATTAAAAGGTGAAAAATTGGAAAACTCAATCAACAAAAATATGATTAACTCATGTAAAGTATATGTTGAATTTCGGGAAAACTCCTCAGATTGGAGTGTTTACCATTGATTCATATATATAGCGGTTTACAAGAGAGTCGTAATCCTATTATGATAAGGATACGAGATATAACAAAATATATACAAAGATATCCTAATCTGCGACAAATATTATCTAACAAATATAATATCTATCACACCCCCGCAGTCGTAGCGGGAGGAGGTCGTACGCTAAGACTGGACCTAAATTCCATAAATAATTCTCGAGGTAGGCTTTTAGTGAAAATGTCCGCAAACTGATATCTAGAAGGAACATGGAGAACCCGTACTTGCCCCAAAGCAACCTTTTCTCGAACAAAATGAATGTCCATCTCCACATGTTTGGTGTGTTGGTGCTGTACCGGGTTGCCGGAAAGGTAGATAGCTCTGACATTATCACAATAAACGATAGTTGCCTGCCGTAGAGGACAATGTAACTCAAGTAAAAGATTACGAAGCCAACATGCCTCAGAGACAACGTTTGCGACGCCTCGATATTCTGCTTCTGCACTTGACTTAGATAAAGTATGTTGACGCTTAGATGACCAGGAGACGAGGTTGTCCCCAAGGAAACAACAATAACCCGAAGTGGAACGCCGGGTATCGGGACAACCTCCCTAGTCAGCGTCAGTGTAAGTAATCAAGCGATGAGAAATAGTAGGATATAAATGTAAACCGTGATCAATGGTACCCTGAACATAACGCATAATGCATTTCAATGCCTCATAATGAGGTTCCCGGGGATCATGCATAAAAAGACACACCTGTTGTACCGCATAGGCAATATCTGGCCTGGTGAAAGTGAGATACTGAAGAGCACCTGCTAAACTGCGATACAAAGTAGGATCCCGAAATGGTGGTCCTGCATCTGCACTAAGTTTGGACTTAGTGTCAACTGGAATGGCTGCAGGTTTACAAGAGGTCATACCTGCACGCTCTAAAATCTCCTGTGCATACTTTTCCTGTGAAAGTAGCAAATAAGAAGGTTTTCGGGTTACTGCAATACCTAAAAAATAACTCAGAGGCCTCAAGTCAGACATGGGAAACTCAGTTTGCAACTGAGAGATGATCCTTGTACGTAACTTTTCAGAGGAGGTAGCTAAAATAATATCATCAACATATAAGAGCAAATATGCCATATCATCTCCCAGCCGGAAGGTAAAGAGAGAGTTGTCACTTTTAGTAATGACAAAACCCAATGTGATGAGAAAATTCGCAAACCGTTGGTACCAAGCTTTGGGAGCTTGTTTCAAACCATAGAGAGTCTTACGAAGCCGACAAAGATGAGATGGAGCCCTCCGATCAACAAAACCTGGAGGTTGATGCATGTAAACAGTTTCCTGCAAATCACCATATAAAAAGGCATTTTTGACGTCTAATTTATGTATCGACCATTTCTTAGCCATAGCTAAACAAAGAACTGTGCGAATAGTGGCCAGTTTCACTACCGGACTAAAGGTCTCATCGCAATCCACAACCAATTTCCTGCGATTTGCCATCACATACAAGACGAGCTTTGTGCCTTTCAAGGTCACCATTACACTTGTATTTATGCTTAAAAAGCCACATACAATTAACAACATTCACCCCCGTAGGCCTAGGCATGGTGATTTGCCATCACAAAGATGAGATGGAGCCCTCCGATCAACAAAACCTGGAGGTTGATGCATGTAAACAGTTTCCTGCAAATCACCATATAAAAAGGCATTTTTGACGTCTAATTTATGTATCGACCATTTCTTAGCCATAGCTAAACAAAGAACTGTGCGAATAGTGGCCAGTTTCACTACCGGACTAAAGGTCTCATCACAATCCACAACCAATTTCCTGCGATTTGCCATCACATACAAGACGAGCTTTGTGCCTTTCAAGGTCACCATTACACTTGTATTTATGCTTAAAAAGCCACATACAATTAACAACATTCACCCCCGTAGGCCTAGGCACCAATTCCCAAGTCCCTGTTTTAATTAAAGCATTGTACTCATCATTCATAGCCGCATTCCAATTGTGGTCATTTAAAGCTTGTTTATAAGACTTTGGAAGGGGTGATTTTAGGTGAGGGGGATCCGAATTTTGAACAGTGAGGTTGCAATATTTCGGGTTTGGCTTAAATATATCCCGTTTACTACGGGTTATAGGTGGGGATGGGGGAGGTGGACGGCTAGGCTGTAGAGGTGGAATGCCACGCATAGGTGGCAGAGTATATGTGGCGGCTGACTGGACTGGGCTAACTGGGCCAGGGCGACTGTACCGGGTGGCTGGGGCAGTGGGGTCCGCAAGGTGGGTGGAGAAGAAGTTCCACCTTGCGGAGTATGCTGTTGGGCGCAATTGTGAATGGGTGAGGTAGGTGGCGTGTGGGATTGATGGCCTTTTGGTATTGGGCCTGGTTGCATTTGGGCTTGAGAAGATGGGAGGCGCATAAATTGATGAGTAGAAGAGGGGAAGTCTCATCAAAACCCAAAAAGTCATACTCCTTTAAGGTGTATTGTTCCAAGTTTTTAAAAGGGAAGGTAGACTCATCAAAGGTGACGTGATGTGAGATGATGACTTTGCGGGTTGCTAAGTCAAGACATTTATAGCCACGATGGTTGGAAGGGTACCCCAAAAAGACACAAGGAGTGGATCTAGGAGCAAGTTTATGAGAAGTTGTTGCCGATAGATTAGGAAAACATAGACAGCCAAAAACCCGTAAATGGTCATATGATGGGTTTCTACGAAACAAAGCCTGAGCCGGGGTCATTTGCTTAAGAGATTTGGTCGGTAGGATATTAAGGAGATATGTTGCCGTCTCTAGATCATGTGACCAATAGGAAGGGGGCAATGAGGCATGAAATAATAAGGTGCGTTTGACATTGTTTATGGTTCGAACCATACGTTTGACTTTCTCATTTTGTGAAGGTGTGTGGGGACAAGAAAAGCGAAAAACCAAGCCATTTTCAACACAAATTTTTTTGAATGGGTCATTGTCAAATTTTCGACCATGATCACTTTGAAAGGATTTAATAGGCCGTTCGAATTGTGTTTGCACATATTGTTTAAAGTGAATAAAAGATTGGTAGCTTGAGATTTATAAGCAAGAGGTATGGCCCACACATAATGAGTGAAATCATCAAGAATAACTAAATAATATTTGTGACCATTAATACTTCGAATAGAAGAAGTCCATAAATCAGCATGAATAATGTCAAAAGCAAAGAAAGTATTATTATTTGAATCATAAAAAGGTAGTCTAACATGTTTTCCTATTTGACAAGAATTGCAAAAAGATGAACCATGGTCCTTATTACAAGAAATTAAATTATTGCTCCTAAGAAAACTTAAAGAAGAGACTCCGGGATGTCCTAAACGATCATGCCATGGGGTGACTGCAGTGAGGGTGGTGGCTAGGCAAGTGCTTGGTGAGCTTGAGGTGATAGGATAGAGGTCGCCGGTATTATTGCATCTCGTTATTACCCTCGCCGTGCGAAGATCCTTCACAGTAAAACCATTAGGGTCAAATTCTATAGACACCTTATTATCAGAAGTAAATCTACGGACAGAAATTAAATTCTTAATAATTTGAGGTGCAAGAAGAAAATTTTTAAGGTTAAGGGAATTATTATTAAGGAGGGTGGTATGACCATAACCAGTAATTAGAATGCGGTGACCATTACCTACTAAAATATGATAATTAGTGCTTAAATTAAAAAAGGGTAGAAGTGTACCGGCATTGTTTGTCATATGAGACGTAGCTCCGGAGTCCATGTACCATCCGTTTTCCGGATTTGGGAAATTCATAGAAGAGTAAGTACTGTTGAACTCCGTGGGTGTCATTGATGGGCCATATTGTGGTTGATCGATTGTATAAGCCTGCTGGGAGTATAAGCCACGTGATGGACCAGCATTGGGCCGAACCTGATAGGCCCCATTGGTTGGGAATGGAGCAGGTGGTACGGCCCAACCTTGAGGCTGCCAAAAAATCTGATGCGGATTGGGCCAAGGGGGCTGCTGAGCCCAGGTCTGCCCATTAGAAGAAGCCCCATTATTGTTTTGCAATTGATTCTGCTGTTGAGTGGAATTATTAGCTGACTTGTTATTGTTGCTAGTCTCACGACCCTTACCTCGTCCATTTCCTCCGCCGCTTTTGCCACCCTGTGCGACCGCCACGCCCACCGCTGCCTCTGTCACCTGAGCCACGGCCGGGCTGAGATGAGGGCTGCAATTGTGAAGTGTCTGAGTCTTGTTGTGCGACAAAGGATGTTTGTTGCGGTTGACCTTGGTCGTTGGCTCGGCGCGATTCTTCAAGAAGAAGGCGAGACCTGGCAGTATTGAAGGACGGTAATGGCTCGGTTTGCTGAATCATCATCGCCATCGTGTCAAAGTTAGAGTTTGTGAGACCGGAAACGAGACGTATCACCATCTTCTGTTCCGAAACCGGTTGATCAATGTTAGCTAATTGATCAGCTATACTCTTGCTGTTGACAATAAGCAGTGACATTAGAAAAATTGCTAATGTGAAGTAAATTAAACTGATTTTCAAGATATACGGCCCTAGTATTTTTGTTATCTTGAAAGATTTCTTTAATTCGATCCCAAAGGTTCTGTGCAGTCGATTTTGGTGCCAAAATCGTGTTGAGAAGTTCGGTTGAGATTGTGCCGTAAATCCATTGTTTAACAATTGCATCAAGACGCTTCCACAAGGCATCCAAAACATCAGTTGGACGGGATACGGTTGGGTCAATGTGATCTAACACATTATACGCACAAGCATGATTCTCAAATAACTCCACCCAATTGGAGTATTGGACTTTCTCATAGTCAAGAACAAGTGGAATTGCATTCTTTATATTATTTACCGCCAAAGCAGGGTGAAACTCCGTCGTAGGCGGTGGTGGTGGAGGAGGGGAGTCAGTATCCTTTGTCATGATAACTGAAAATAGCAGGTAACCAAAGAACAAGGAAAGGGAGTTGACTAGTAGCCGAAATCTGGAAACAAAGGAGAACAAAACAAAAAAAGAAATAGGGGAAAGGTTGCGGAAAACGTAAAGCAGGAAGGTCCCAATAAAACCGAAAAACCAAAAATTAAATTTTGGGAAAAATAAAAAAATTGAGATTTAAAATCTAAGTTGTGATACCATGTTGGATTTCGGGAAAACTCCTCAGATTGGAGTGTGTACCATTGATTCATATATATAGCGATTTACAAGAGAGTCGTAATCCTATTATGATAAGGATACGAGATATAACAAAATATATACAAAGATATCCTAATATACGACAAATATTATCTAACAAATATAATATCTATTAGTATTCGATTAGAATCTTAATGCCACTTGTTAGTTGTTTGACAGTGATAATAGAACTATATGGCAACTTATGGATATATTTGATGGTTTTATAGGATTATATAGCAACTTATGGATATATGAGTGTAAAATTGGAAATTTTATATTGTTACATGTGAGTGTGCCGTGACTCGTGAGCCGGAGTATTGTTATTATGCTTAATCATTATTATGCTTAATCTATTATGCTTTACTTCACATAGAGTATATTATAAGTTACATTATATTGTTACATATGGGTGTGTCGTGAGATTACCTAGTGTTATTATGCTTAATCTATTAGGCGTTACCCTAAATAGAGTCTATTGCTACATGTCAATATTAATATTATAAATATAATATATACATTTTGTGAAATTGTTGGGTGATTAAAGGTGGTTGGCCGAAGGAATTAATTAAGCCCCTTTATGTTGTTGACTTTTAGTTGATATATTTTTCACCTATGTTATGTATTGATTTAGTGATTTACTATGATTAACTAATTTAAATTCATGATTTTGGAGTTTGCTAAACTTGAATTGTATATTGAATGGAATTTATTGATCAAATGTGACAGATAATTTATATTAGGGAATTAATTTTAAAAATCATAAGTTAGGAGTATTATTTTAACTATTTATACCATCATTATATTTGTGGACATAATGAAATTTGAAATATATCTTCGTATTTTGCAAGTGATATTAGATAATTCTATCATAACGGTAACTTTCTCACTTCCAGAAGGTTACATTAGCACCTTGCAGTTTCATGGATCGAGTAATTTACTCGATACTGAAAATGGAAGACAGTAGATGCAGGCTACCAACCTTCTCCTACTGTTAGTTTCAATGAGAATATATACGAATAAGGTAATTCTGTAATGAAATTTAATTAGTTATATATATAAAAGTATATTTTGATAATTTGTTGATTGAATTTATATGAATTTGTGAACTTCTTAATTGAATTAGAGGTTGTGTGTAATAATTTACTTATTATGTACGAAGTACTTTATATGAATGTTAATTGGACTCCAAAACGGCAAAGGAAGAACCTTCTTGTGAATTTATTAGATTTACTAATTATGTATGAAAGTAGTTTATATACATAATATACATGCAATATATGTGCAATATATGTGTGTGTTTTAGAATTTTTAGCAATTATGGTGACTTATTTATAGTTTGAGGTCTTTTAAAATTGTCAAGTAGATAGTTGTGTTATCAGCCAACCATTTACCACCTTTGATATTTGTAGGGAATAATTTCAAGCCTTTAAAATCCCACTAGCTCGAACCCCACTGTGATCATACACTAAAGTACGGTGGCGTCCAAAAGGGAAGAAGATAGAGCAAAAGAGTCGCCAACAAGTTTTTAAGGAACTTGTAAACCGTTCACGAGGTGAAGGTTACACCCCTTAACGATCCAAGAGATCGTCAACTCCATAAGGTCATGAACCAAATAAGGGTTCGGGGATGATGGTACAAATCCAACCTAAAAGAGATTGAACCTGCCCTAATAATAGGCCTCTACTTTATTCTGCTTGTATTCATGTGCGCTTTCTGACTAACATACAATCAATAGGATTAACCCTAAACTTGTTTAACCTATGTTGGTTGAATTTAATGCACAAATAAACTATTATTGGTGATCACTTGAATTATAATCATATTAGCCCTAACAAGATTATTAATTATCTTATCAAGCGTGATTACAAGTACCAAATTCCCTTTAACCTGCAATAAAAGGTGATCAAGCAATAACAATATAAATATGCATATCAAGCAACATAATAATAATCATCAATTAATCATAATCATAAATATTAGGAAGAACATAGGAAACATCATATTTTTAATCACGCTTAATATTAAAAATACCCTAAACATGATACTAGGAATCATCAAAATAACAATTTAAGCATGATATCTACATCATGAAATCAATTAAACCATTAAAGTACTTACTTGGATGCCTCGTACCTCTTTCTAATTACAAAATACACACGTTAGTAGCTTCAAGGAAAATAATAAACAAAACAATTAAATCAAATAATTGAAATAGAGATTAAACCCTCAGAAATTAAAACCTTTCACGTCTAGGGCGAAGGCAACTTCGAATATGGCTAGGTGTTTCAAGATCTTGTGAATGCGAAATTTTGTATGAAAAAGTAAAGTTTAGAAAAGAAAGAATGAATGTTAATGAAAGTTGATGAAAAGAGATGAGTGAAAAGGATTATTTGACTGTAGATGAATGCTAATTGGTGAATGATGAAGATAGTTGATGAAGACTTAAGAATAAAGAGAATTGGTGGACGATAGATGTAGATGATCCATGAAAACGGAGTTTTTGATATGATATTTATAGAGAAAATCAGCCAAAAAAGATAATTTATCAAAACAGAGTCTGAAGATCGCAGAACCACCTTGGCGCCAGCCCTGGCTCATTGGCGCCAGGACCAGTGGCTAGCGCCAGGCGCCAATGGCTGGCGTCTGGCGCCAAGGCTTGGGGTTGGACGCCAAACCGGCTTTTAACACGTTTTCGAAAATCTGATAATTTTACCGTACTAGAAGATAAAATAATATAATTTCAGTCGAAAATGCTATTTGATCTAATTAAAACTCTAAAGAATCCTAATTGAATTAAGAATGATAAGAACCTTCTAGAAGACCAAAACCATTCCTAATTACATTAGGAATGATAAATCATATTAGGCCCTCCCCTAGATCATTGGGCCGTACTTAAAACTCAAACCGGGCCCAGTTTAGTAAATTGGCCATAAATTCCTCAATATTCATCGGAATTGGACTTATAATATATCGTTGGAAAGGTCTTTGCAAGCCCCATATAACTATACCACTATTGGACCCATATCATGGACCAACCAAACTGGATTGAATGTTTTCTTAAAATAAAGTTTTCATAAACAGAGAGAAGAGAAAAGAAAAGAAAAGAAAAGAAATAAAACTTTCCGCAACACTAGACCTTTCCACACTTTCGTTTCATTCGATTATGATTCGGCGTGAAAGACACTCATCACTGGGTTTGGTTTTGGGGAGACACAAATGGGTGTCTACAATATCCATCAAAGTTGAAATGTCTTTTTGAATATTGCCGACACTGCCATGTAAGTGAACCTAAACGAAAATATAAACATAAAATAACTTTAGATGAGTGTAGCATAATAAGTCATCAAGTATGATGAATGTATTATTATTATTATTATTATTATTATTATTATTATTATTATTATTATTATTATGAAGTATTACTTATTCTGATTGAGTGCATATTCCAATAAGCTCTACGAGTGCAACAAAGAATACATGATCGAATGTTGCATATGAATTGAACCCTGAGATGTCACTGAGCAATACGTACCTAGAATCCAATGCAAAAATTTAAAGAAGATTAAGTTTACTCAATGTGACAATTATAGCAAGTTAGGTGTAGTTAAGCTAGTACCTCACTTCAATAAGTAGGCCATAAAAGGGTGGAGAACAACATGTTCTCTTGGAAGGAGATCTCAACTTTATTCTCATTTTGCTCTTTAATGCTAAAGGAGTCTCATAGAATACTGCACAAGTTAAATATCTAGAGTGATACTAACATTACTTCTTGAATGTAAAAATATTATCAGGGAAGAAAATAAATTGAATAAAGGCCAAATAAAGATGAAAAAACCTTTTATCTAAAGACATTTTTATTTATTTTTTTAGTATAATGAAACTTTTAGGACAAGAATTTCAATATAAAGTCCTCCAAGTAAAATTAAAAGTTCTACGAAAGTTCGTTTTGTGTATTTTCATTTTACTTGGAGCCATATACACAAAATGGTTACGAACACTCCTTATGAAAATGACAAAATTTATGATGACAGATACCCAATTTAAGACTAGAGATCATATTAGTAATGATACTTATGTAAAGAGTTTCCAAACAAACAAAAAAAAAAAAAAAGGAAAAAACTTATGTAAAGAGTAGGCAACCTAATTAATATGTTGTTGAACTCTCTTGATCAAACTAGTAGTAATTAAAAGATTAATTGTAATCTAAACATTTTTTCTTGAAATCCTTAAAACTCTTAGCTTTGACTTCATTTGTGGCAAAGAGGACAATGAACCAACCCATTTTCATTACACTTGGGACACCTTTCCTTCTCATCTCCAACTATCATCCTGCAACTCCCTCCACATTCCATACAAGGCACAAACCTTGCCCCACCACACCCTTCACATCCTTGCCAACCTAGCCCCCGCTCTACTCGTGCCGAACTCATTATCCTCCCGAGTCGCCCCGACTCGTTTAGCTCCACCACCTCCTCCGCCCCTCCTAGATACCTTCCCTTCACAAACAACCTTGGCACGGGAACAGGGCAGGGGACTCCTGCCCCGTCCCCGTTGCTCACTAACTCCTTCAACTCCCCAAGGAAGGGGCGTGTAACGACACGTCCCGTTCATCAAACACGACACGATGATTCTCTAGGATCATCCTAACTCGGTTACAATCCTCAAAAGTCCTCCTTACTCCACCCAACGACGTCGTATAGAGCACCACTAAGTGGGCTCCACCAGGAGGACATATCTCGGGAAAGTCGTTAAGTGGGTCCCTTTTACTCTTCATTATCTTATCAAACACAGCTTCTTTTCCTTCCTTTTCCTTCTCTAACATGTCTCTTAATATAAATGGGTTGGCCTTCAAAGACCCGCCAACCTTACTCGAAATTGGAACCGGAACCTCCAGCGACTCCGACTCGTCCCGGGTCAACCCCGACTTCCTCAATCGATTCAGCTGCTTCTTCGCTTCGTTATTCCCCGATGACTCGTCCTGAGTCGACTCAGCTTTCATCTGCTTCGTATCATCGTACTTCTTAGTCTCCAACTCCTCAAGCGTGTGAAACGAGAAGTTCTTCTGAATACCCGGGTTCGGGCCTGGAGTCGGGTTCGGGTCGGGCTCCGGCTTGGCGGCTGCGGCTGGCTTCTTGAGATTTTCTTCCAACAATTCCTTGCTGACCTCCTCCCACGTGCGAGGCCCATCAGAGGCATCCTTCTCAAACGTGTCGAGCTTCTCAAGCACGTGAGCTGGCACGTGCGAAGATTTCTTCTGATCATTTATTTGTGCGGCATTATCAAGCTTAAGCCAAGGTTCTTCAATGGCGTTGATGTCGAAAACCGCGAAACTAGATGGTGGTGGACGGTAGATATACGGGGTTGTACCATCTACTTTCTTAGACGATGCACACCCCATAATTTCTCCTCACTTAAGAAAAATTAATTATAGGAGAATTTTTGTTTTTCTTTTTGATTTTCCTTTTTTAATTAAGTTGGGAAAAGAGGGGGTTGTTATTGCATGGGAGGAGATGGTTTTATCTATAAGGGGCGACTCATGTGGGCTTAAAATGTGGCACGTGTAGGTGGTAATTGAATGGTTATAGGCTAGCCAAGTATTGCTCTTTGTTCTTATTCTGTAACATTATTCTTGTATCGTATTCCCTTTGTCCCTTAATTATTGTTCCATTTTTTTAATATGGTGATTTTAAAAATACAAGTAAGAAAGATGGAACAATATTTAAGTATGTAACTATAGCTAGTGTAATTTCTTTCTAATCTATTTACTATTTCAGATCATATACTAAAAATGTACCCGATTACTCAATACAACTCTTAATAAATTAAGTATATAGATAGAACAAATATTTAAAGGACGAAAGATTATGTTAAAGTTATATAGGATAAGGCCAGGTTTATTGTTAATAATCAATGAATTACAGCCAAAAATAAATAAAATTATACTATAGTAGATTGTTGATATAATTTAAGCTAAGATTGATGTTGATTGGAATAATCAAACAAGGGGGTTTAATTTGTATTAGACACATCTATAATCTATCACACGTTACACATATATATCGACATATTTGGCTAAGATTACCTAAATAAGCGGTTCTACTAGTTTTGGTGCTTAGTGGCTTCAAATGGCTTAGATGGATGATAATCATTTTATTATCAAGGTTAAAGACAGCACGTACTATAGCATCTTTCTTTGATAATGATGGATACAAGCATACAACTATAACAAGTGTATTACACCCTCTAAAAGCGTTCATATTGTAATTTCAATACTCCGTAGATCGTATAATTTATTTCGGATTGACTAAATTTTTATTAGCTACGTTATTAAAACAGTCTATATGTCACGAGGATTTCTTCATTGCGCCACATCATCCAATCAACGTCTTATTATGCCATGTCATCACCCGCTTAACGCCACGTGGATCTCCTTTCTATTTGTCTCTCATTTAATGTCATGCACTCATAACTAATAACAAAAACAACAATCTCCACAAGATTTGAACTTGCAACCTTTTATTCTAGAACTAAGCATCTTACCACCAAATTATGATATTTATGTTAATTTTTTAAACAAAATATTTAATATGTATAACAAAGTTAATTACAAGAAAATAAAGTAATGATTTGGGGCATCGCTCGGGCCTAAATATTAGTTAAATAATCAAAAGATAGTTACTCAAAAAAAAATAAAAATCAAAAGGTAATTAATTTTAATAAAAATAGATTTAGCTTGAACATAATACTCTCTCAGTCCAAATTTTTTTTTTGTAGCTGTATGACTCACCAAAATACTTATCAGAAACTGTAAAGTTAAAAGTGATGTATAAAAAAATGAATAAAGTATTTAAATGAGGTTGTTAGAAATAACACATCAAAGTAGTCTGTTTCAGGGAAAAAAAAAATCAAAGTATCCTGCATGTTCCTTAGAGAGTTAGAGCATTAGAGCTATCTTAGTATTTGGGCGGTTGGGCCTATCAAAGTAGCCTCCATGTTCCTTGAGCATTAGAGCTATCTTAGTATTTGGGCCTGCCTTTCAGCTGTCCTAGATCAACAACATGTGCCAAATTTCAAAGCCTAAAATTACGATTGTTGAATATAGCATTTATAGGGCCCAATGCAAGCAGCAACCCAATAACATGTCTAGGCGCAGCTACTAAGAGCAAGTTTAGCCCTAATTCTTAAGAGTTGGAGTGACATCATAATTTTGAGTCTTAAGACTTTTTCCATTTTTCTTCTTAAATCTCAAACAAGTCTCAAGTTTTATTTTTATTATCTTTTATTTATTTATTTTTTTTTACACTTTTCTACATATAATATGTCAAATATTTGAGTCTTAAGGCTAAGAGCAAGTTTTAGCCCCAAGTCTTAGGACTTGGATGTGACATCATTTTGGTGGTCCCCATTGAAAATGCTGTCATCAAATTCCTGTTAAGACTCACTAAGACTTATACACAAATTTGAAAGATAGTAACCGAAAAAAACGTGTAGTACAATTTTATTTTTTTTGTTCTCTTTTTCTATTTTATCAAAATATTTTTTAAACTACAAAGTCATCCCATAAACAGTTTAGCTTAGATTAGTCAAAAATTAATGAATGGTTAAGATTTAATCTAATATAGTGACTACAATTTTATTGTAGCCATATGAAAATAATCTTGAATTTTGGATATTTAATATAGATTTACAAGAAGATAGTGAATTGAATGTAACTATGTAGGTAATTCTCAAAATTAATATATTACAAGTCACATATGTGTATGTCATGCATCATTTACATATTGAGAATGGAGTTGAAAATGGGTCACTTCACCAAGAGACATAAGTCTTTTAGTCAAAAGAATATTCTTTTAATCATAAAATTATTCTACAAAAGATATCTTTTTCACCAAAAGTATGGTATAGAGTACTAAGTAATGCGACATACATCTCACTATTACTACCACCGTACCACTACTACTAATAATATTTTTATATCGTTTCACACAACCTAAACTATTGCCCATAATCATATAAATGTAAACTATATGCACATTTATCATACTAATGTTACAAAATTAATTAAGTACATGTCAAGACTGTGATAGTCTCATAGACAAGTTTTTCACTCTAATGATGTTTATGTAAGATTATCAAAGACATGAAGTAGATGGCCAATAAAGTTAAATAATTACAAGATCCCACATTGTACATTTGTACGTACATACCGTTATTAGTTAGAATAGAAAAGGGTCAAACCTTGTACTCTTTAGATTCTTTAATTTGGTCATCATCAAGTGCTTTTCAATGGAGAATAAAATCTTCATCTATATATGATTAGATTATAATTTGGAATTATTATTATATGAGTTACGTTGCTATCTCATCTCTATTAATACAACCCACACATACAGACCAAAAAGGGGACATGGCGGGCCACTGCAAACTTTGACAAATGACGGTTTAGAGGTTATATATATATAGAAGAATAGAATGAAGCAAATCAAACTATGCTAGAACAAGCAACAATCACATACATACAAATTAAAATATCTTTACATAACTTAGCATAAAGCTAGCTTAGTATACTCTTATAAGTGATAGATATTCGTGTTGTACACTTGTACGTATACACGGAGCTGTTTTTAAGAGAAAGAATGGAGCTACTTTTCTCCAAAAAGCTAACTCCAACTGATGTTGGTTTTAGACTGTCATGGCCACGTAAACACTTGGATCTCTTACGCCGTTTGTCATCAATCAATCTTAATCAACCACCCAATGATGATGAGAGCAGCGGATTGGAATTTCAAGTGTATGACATGGAAGGGCGCAGTTGGACTCTAACTTGCACCACTAGGTCCAGCATACATCCTAAGCCTGTCATATCTCGCGGCTGGAGGAGGTATGAACTCTTCTCATCATCCTATACACAACAAATAATCCTATATATATATTTGAGTTTGTACAAAAATTTAAAATTGGTCAAATTATATTAATCCATGAACATCTTTGTATGTAAAGCTTACATAGTTACATGTACATTATATTTCGATGAAAACAGGTTAGTAAAAGACAATGGATTACGCGAAAATGATGAAATCAAGTTTTACAAGAATCTTGATCCTGGTTCACCTATCTTCATTCATGTGACGCCTAGAGCTCAACAAGGGTAGGTATATGATACGAGTATTTATATATTTATCCCAAGTCTCTAACCATATATGTTCAGAAAAGTACATTCTCCAGATCATTGTTATATGAATGTTATGCCTCATCATTATTAGTACTTTTTATAAGTAGCAGCGTGCAAGTCTTAATACTATTATCTTCAAATTTTGTCTGTTTGCAGGTAGGAGGGAGTACTGAAGTTATTCAACTATCGATCCACTTGAATTGAACGAGGCTCTGTGTAATATGAAGCATTACTATCAATACTTTAATTTTATCGTTCCTTTGACGTCTACGGCCTATTGTGATCTTCAATCTTTAAGAATGTTACTTTTATGCAGCTTTTCATACATTTGTGTTTCAGTGGGATCGAGTAATCGAGTAATCGAGTTTGGTTTAGTGAAAGCCTCAACTTGTCTAAAAGTTTAAATGAGTGTACTTTAATTTGTGTTCTTGTTTAAGTTAAGTGTATGTATGAATGAATGTATGATGTTTAAAGTTTGTAAAATTGCTGTTATATATAAGCTTCTTCTATGTTAAAGCAAGGATTTTTACAACTATGTTTGCATCATTAGCCGTACGTGCATATCCCCAACTTTATGGGATGTGCATTATCAACTAAACGCATCCATCCATGCTCTCTCTAGCGGAATAATGTTTTAAAAATCACACATTAAAATATATGGCACATACAATAATTGGTAAGACAATTCCTTCAAAAAAAAAAAAAAAATGGTAAGACAATATATATGGCACATTAAAATATATTTGTACTCATTAAAAAAGACAATATATATGTACCTATACATTAGTTTCTAGCAAATTTTCAACATGAAAGCAATTGTTAATAGCTGAAGTGCTCTATCACAATTATAATCTAGTCATCTTGTTTCCATTTCTTCAATGTGGTTAAAGTAGTCCCCACGAGCTTAGGTTACATTACATCTTAATAACAAACATGCTTGTAGTAAGTTTATTCGACGACAAAAATTAAAAATGTTAGAAAGTACTTCGTATAAATTAGATGTGAAATTTAGCATAAATCTAGCTAATAGCTAGCATTATTTTTTGTTACTGTTAAGGTCACTAAGGTGTCAATTTATAAATTTTATGTTACATCATTATAGGTAAATTTATGTACAAGAATATATAAAGCCATAGTTATGTACTTATAAAAATAATAACTTTGTGAACATCATTAATGAATGTTATGATGGATAAATTTATTGAACTATGTCATTGTTATATTATTAAAAGGAAAAATGGAAACTAATAATCCCACCTTTGTCACTTCTGCTCAAAACAATCCCACCTTTTCGAATTCCCAAAACAATCCACCTTTGACCCCTATTTTCTTAAAATGAGCCTTTTAACTCACAACTTGCTTAACAGGTTAACTTTTTTTTTTTTTTTTTTTTCAATCTCTCATCTCCCACCTTATCCTATCCACCATAACCACCACCACCCTTAACCCTCACATCACCACCTAACACCAGGCAACCTACGAACCCCAGCCACCACGAACCCCAGCCAGCCCCCGGAACCCCTAGCCACCACGAACCCGGAACCCCTAGCAACCACACGAACCCCACCAACCCACGAACCCTAGCCAACCCCCGGAATCCCTAGCCACCACGAACCCGGAACCCCTAGGCACACGAAACCCACCAACCCACGAATCCCAGCCACCACAAACACCAGCCAACACACGCGAACCCCAACCACCACGAACCCCAGCCAACCCCCGGAACCCCTAAGCACACGAAACCCACCAACCCACGAATCCCAGCCACCACAAACACCAGCCAACCTACGCGAACCCCAACCACCACGAATCCCCACCAACCACGAATCCCCCGAAACCCACCACCCCCAAATCCCCACTACCCACGAACCCCAACCACCACAAACTTCCACCACCCACTACTAGAAAACAAGCCATTTCCGACGGAATTTTTCCGTCGGAAACACCCTTAAATCCGTCGGAAAAGCCCTTTCCGACGGAATTCCGTCGGAACTGGTTGTCGGAAAACCCTTTGTAGGAAAAACGGCATATTCCGACGGAAATTTTTTTACGACGGAATTTCCGACGGAATTCTGTTGTAGGAACAGATCTTCTGGCTTCAGCAAAGTCCGTCGCAACTTTCCGACGAAATCGTGTCCGTCGAAAAGTTACGACGGAATTTCCGTCGGAAAGTATTTCAATTAAAATAAAAAAAAACACGCCGCACCACCCAAGGGCACGACGTGTCACCACCCTAGCCCCAACAGCAGACCACCACCGTCACTATCCCCACATCACCCACAACCAGACTCTACCCCTCACCCACCGCCATTCTAGCCCAGATCTAAACTATCCCCTCTTTACCCGAACCAGATCCACCCACCATAACCCAAACCAGACCCACCCACTAACCAAAACCAGACCACCCACTAACTCGAAACGACCATTTTCACCACCCTAACCCATCCAAATCAACATCTACCACCAAGACAAACCTAGATCTACAACCCTGATACTACCAACACCCATCCAAAAACCACCACCACCGCCAAAAACCAGAGTCACAACAAAAAAAAAAAAACAAAAAAGAAACAAAACCTAAAACAAGAAAACATACCTTAACAACCAAAGCTTCGAATTTCCACCCGAATTTGGTTTAATACGGCTAAATTCGACCCTGAAACCTCAAGATCTATAGATTTCATGGTCGAATTTGGCCGTATAAACCATTAATATGTATGAAATAGAAAGAGAACCATTGGCGGCGACCGTGAGAACCCTTATCTTGAGAAAATAGTTAAGTTCGAATTGAGAAAGAGAATGAGGAAAGAAGAGGAGGAGAAAATACAAAAGTTAAGGGGAGAGAGGATACCGTGAGATAAGAGAAAGTGGAGGGAGATGGAGACCGAGGAGGGAGGAGGGAGGAGGAGTTGAGAGAGAAAGAGAAGACAGGGGAAGATCGAGAAATTGAAGAGTAAAAAGGAGAGAGAAGGGGAAGCGAGAAACTGAATGAAAAGGGGGAGGAGTTGCGGCTCAATGAAATAAAAGAGGGTTGAATGTTAGGGTTTCGGTGTATTTTTTTTAAAAAAAAAATTCCGACGGAATATTTTCCGACGGATTTTAATTCCGTCGAAAAGTTTAATTTCCGACGGAATTTTCCGTCGAAAAGCCCATATATTCCGACGGATTTATATTCCGTCGGAAATTTACGACGGATTTTGAAAATCCGTCGGAAATTTCCAACGGATTTTTTTTTCCGTCGTAAATCTATATTTTTGCGACGGATTTACGTGTCCGTCGGAACCAGTCTGTCGGAAATAGGCCTATTTCTAGTAGTGACCCACAAATCCCGACCACCCACGAAACCCAAACCACCCCCGCCGATCTCACCCACGAAACCCACCAACCCCGAAATCCCGACCAACCCACGGAATCCACCAACCCCGGCCAGAATCTTGGCCAACCCACGAAACCCAAACCACCCACGAACCCCGATCTCCCACGAACCCCAAACCACCTCGAAATACTGCCGCCTATAAACCCCGACCACCCATGAACCCCGATCTCACCCACGAAACCAGGAATGGGGAGGTGGGGAAAGGGGAGGGGTGGTGAAGTGGTGTGTGATGCGGTGGACGGTGGTGGGTTTTTTTTTGCTTTTTTTTAATTTGCAAAAATTAAAATTCTACCAATCAGAAGGTGACACGTGGAAAGTCATCTACTAAAATAAGTTACCCATTTCACAAACCGGTAAAAGGCTCATTTTGAGAAGATGGGGGTCAAAGGTGGGATTGTTTTGGGAATTCGAAAAGGTGGGATTATTAGTTTCCATTTTTCCTTATTAAAATTCTTAAGCTATTGTTTTCTCAATGAAAACAATCATTAAAAAAAAATCATTACTAGTGAAATTTGTTAGAATATTAATTATTTTATAAGTGGGTTTTACCCATAGTTATTCGGATTTTCCGCATCACCTATATTTTGTATCCCTTATTATTTTCGATCTTATTTTTCTTGGATCTTATGTTTAGTTGTTTTGCAACCCGAGTCATCTCAAAATACCTTGTTAGCAAAACCAATGAAGATCACAAAATTTCTTCTCTATTAAGAAGTTGTGTGTCTACATACATTGGGTGATTGGGACATTGCAAACACCATTATATCGATCCTTTTGTTAAAAACAAAATTTCAATTTTTTTTTTTAAAAAATAAGGTATGGTTTAATAGTTTCCCTTTTTTAAAAAAGAAAAAGGTCTCGTGCATATGTACTAACAGGAGTTTGATTAGTTATTGTTTGACTAAATTTCATAGGTGTTGCAAATTTGCAATCATTATTAAAACTCAAAAATAAAGTTGTCCCCAATCAGACAAAATGAAAAGCTAAGTGAATCACAAAGATTCTTACCCAATCAGACATTTAATTTTGCACCTTAGAAAAGTGTTAACATCCTAAACTTCTTTGTCCCCCAATAATGTAATGCAAAGCGATAATAAGATCAATAATAGTCGTACTTTCTAATTATGTAACCTTTAAAAAAAAAAACAAAAACAAAAAAAAAACAAAAAACAAGGGTTGAATATGAGTAGAATATCTATAGTGAAAATGATACATGCAGAAGCATGGCCCTCTGATGATCTCTTTGCGTATAACAATTGAACTATATAATTCAGTCTAATAATGTGATCCTTTATTGACTTTAAATTACACAAATTAATGATTGATAGGTGATGATTTTAAGCTTGATCCAATTTAATTTGTTGCCCTATGCTGTAAGTTTTTTCGTGCTTATACTTGTGCCCTGAACAACCTAGATCTTGTTTTCGTCACAAAAAATCCCAATGCTTGCACATGCTCAACTAGCTTGAAGTATCCGAATTAGTAAATGTGATTAGAATGTCTTAAATTTGTTTTTTTTTTTAAAAAAAAAAACCAAACATTTATTTCATTTTTGTAAATAAATGAAGACACAACATATGGGCTTACATAGGCGTCTTAGGGTTTGTTCACATTTACTGAATTGAGCTGAACTGAACTGATTGGAGCTGTATTGAACTGAAATGAACTGATTGGAGCTGAACTGAACTAAAATGAACTGAACTGAGCTGAAATGATTATTTTATGAGAGAGGGAAATTAGGAGCTGAATTGAACTGAACAGAATTGAACTGATTGGAGCTGAAT